TATAATACCCCCACATACAATATAAAATATACTCGAATATACGCGTATGGCTATGGTCATATAATACCAATGCCGCCGCGTGTCTTGGCTTCGGCTTCAGCTTCAGTTTCGGCTTTACAACGTTTAATTGTTGAAAATGTAAATGCAACACATGAATGCGCTCCGAGTATTAACCGGATCTCGGAGAGGTCAAACTAACGTTAACAAAACTATGACAACTCGGGTGCCGGAAATCGATTTGTGAATGGGATACACAATGGGCATAGCTATTGGGATGGGCGGAAGAACGGACAGAAGATTCCAGAAGATCCTCCCACCTGTAGAGGAGTATATTTTGAAGATACTGTTATCGATCACTGGATAGAGATAGATAATATAGAAAAGGAATATATCTTTTTTGCCTAAAGATAATGAACTGTGAATAATTTGCAATGGAGATAATGGGATATCAGGATAATAATAGATCTTTTATAGCTCGAAAAGATTTGCATAGCATTGATTTCTTTATCGACAAGGGTCAGGGGAAAAATTCTGTAACTGAATTGAAAGATGATTAAAATAATCGACGTTTTAAATGTACATATTTCTGCCATCTAGGATATCGATAATAGTACTATATACCTGCAAATATTTCACAGATTTCTACCAAAACTATATGTCCAGAAGACCATTCATGGGACATAATACTTGGACCTGAGCCAACGGACAGACTCGTTCAATTACTTAAGTAAGTTTCCCTAAAAGAGACATTCCTAAATGAGAGGGGGGTCTCTCTCACTATCTCTCAATCGCTCGGTGCAAATCAATTAGTCACACAATTTAACACATGAATTGTAAGTGCTAATGATGCCCAAAACTGCATCGAGAGTAGCAGCTGCATTTCCATAGTCGTGGGGCTGGTACTTACCATCTCGCCAGCGAGGAACGGTGACAAACAGGCGATTGCCAAAGTGCTCGACTCCGACGGGCAGGGCGTTCTGGGGAATATAGTCGCCGCTGGCCATGGCCTGCTCCTTGAGCCTGGCGTTCGGGAAGGCAAAGTCCAGCTGGTTCCAGCTGTAGCGCTCCTGCAGCTTGTAGGCGGCCTGCGTCGGGGTCACCATTGTGACGGCGACCAGCAGGAGCGAAAGCGCTGTCAGGAGTCCTATTCCTCCTTTGTCCTGGACGTGCATGGTGTCGGAGGAGCTGGATAACCCTTGGTTTTAAATCACAAATCAACACTGGGGAACACGCAAAAGAGTTGGATGGCGAACCAAACAAAAAAAAATCCTGGGTTCTGTATGAAGTGTTTGGATAGTTGGATAGAGTTCTTGTGTCTTAATCCTCTTCTGTGGACCGTGGCGCGCTTACGACTGTTGGCCATAATATGTCGGCCACGTTTTATATGAAGTTTTTTTGTTTCATCGGCATCGTCACAACACACGAGACGGTTGGATAGACGAAGGCGCCAACGCGTGGCCGCCTCTTCGGCACTAGCGCTAGCATTTCGCAGTGGTTCGTTGTGGTTCGTTTAGTGGTTCGCAGTGTGGTTCGTGCCACGAGCTTCGCTTCGGGGATTGTGCGTCGCTGTCTTCCATGATTGATTTTCACGCATTTTTAGCGGCCGCTTGAGTTCCGTTTAATAAATATCGAGACCCACAACCGCCCCAAACGAGCCCCGAACACCTTTCGCCGTGAGCTCTCTAGGCAGTTTGCGATTTTTTGTTTAATTTTGAATTTTTTTGGAATTGAATTGCTTGGCCAGGTTTCGATTGTATTGGATGATTCACGATCCATTATCGAGGGTCAAATGCGGTTGCTTTCCGCTTTTAGAAGCCCGATAATTGCTTCTGGGCCTGCTCAATGGGCCTCGCACCAGATGGCACCCAGAAGAGCTGGCCATTGAGGAAGAGATTACAAGTGAATGGCTGGACTTTAGGGTAATGCTCTAATGGCTCCAACGGCAAAAGACGCACGAATGCGAATTTGCGAATGTGCGAATGCATATGTAAATGCGGTCAAGACAGCCGAAGGTGTTGGCATAACTCTCGAGTCAATGCACCTGGGCCAGACCCCAGCCACGCATTATGCACATGCCAAGGAGAACTGAGGGAGGGAAAGGGGGAGCATTAGTTAGCCAATCTGTAGCCGATCTGTACTGGAACCACAGCCAGCGACTTTCCGACTGCCATGGCAGTCTTTCGTAAGTGCCAGTGCCTAGCACTAATCTGAAATCATAAGTGTCTCGAGACCAGTTAAAGCCGTTCAACTTGATCCTGTGGCACCGTTCTGCTGGTGATTGCTGACGGCAATGCGGTGGAGACACCTACTCAACCACCTCTAGCCACAAGCCACCGAGCCACCCTTAGAGCCCGCCTGCCCCACATAATTACCACTAATGTGGCCTGCAGTGCGCCCCACTCGGCATAACCTGTGCGTGTTATTAATTAATATCATGTTAATGCTGCAGCTGTGTCTCTGAATGTTGCCACTGCCGCCGCTGCCGCTGCTGCTGCTGCAGTGCTTCTGGATGTTGCATAACCCTCGGCCGCCTGTCGAGTCTGTAACGTACCACACGTGGCACAACCTGTGCGTGTTATCAATCAACTGCATACTGCTGTTGTGACTGTTAATGGTGCTGTGGATATTGCTGCGGTGTCTGTTAATTTTCCTGCCGCATCTGTGGAGGCTGCTTCTGTGTCTGTTAATGCCGCTGCAGTGTATGTTAATGTTGCTGTGGAAGCTGCTGCTCTGTCTGTTAGTATTGCACAACCCATGGCCGCCTGCCGCCTACCGCTTGTGGTGAGAGCAGAGCGCTCTTCAGCTAAATTGCAATTAATAAGCCAGTCGACGTAAAACCTAGATATGGACATAAATTGCACTTGTATCGATCAACTATGATTTATTAGTACAATATTAGTACACATACGTTATATTTGTTTGGCCAAAGAGTGTTGCCCGTCCCTCCTGTCCGTTCGTCCGTTGTCCGTTGTCCGTTGTCCGTTCAGTGTCCGATTCGATCGCATTATAAATTTTTCTATTGGCGTACACAATTTTCCCAATAATTTAAACGAGTTTTTCCAGCACGAAATCAAACAAAACAACATTATCGAGTGGTCGTCGACTAAGTGGCCAAATGTTGCCACGGATCCGCACACACTCTTTGGCATAATTGCCACACGCTCCAAACTTATGCAACATCTGCGGCAGCTGCAGCAACAGCAGCAGCAACAGCAGCAGCTACAGCATCAACAAAGCTAAGGATAAAGCCAATCCGGGCGGAAAACAAAAACACATAATGACATTGCCCGCTCTTGGTCTCCCCTTATGGACATCATTTGAACATTTTTCTATATTTACTTTTATTTTCCATTTTCGAAGGTGGTTTTTTCTTTGTTTTTCCTTCATTTTTATCTCCATCTGGGGTTCGACCGAGGAAACCTGTTGCCCAACTTCCCGTAACCTTAGCTCCGACATCATTTTCCATTGATTTCAAGTTCAATGTCTGGGGCCGGGGCTTTATTTTCAGCCGCTGAACATTTTCCAGATTTATTCGGGCAACAACTGCATTCGAAACCCTGCTTTCGAGTTTCCTGCTTACGAGTACACGAGTGTGCCACCCAAGCACATCACCTGTCCCCAATGAACACACGGACAATATTTGGTATGACAACGAGTCGGATTAAAGCTATTGCTGGCGTTTTGGTTCGTTAGATTACCTCAGACATAATTTGCTTGCTACTGCTGCAGCTACTGCCAGTGCACTTGTCACGCAAGGAGTTGTAGAGGAAGCTGGGATGATGTCATGTACGGGGGTTACACCATCGCGGGGCCACCAGCCAGAAGCTGGAGCTGAATCGGAGGAGCTCTCGATAGCATATGAATAGCATTTGGTGGAGTGCATAAATCAGCCTTGTTTCAGTCGAAATTTACGATCGTGTTGCGCATAGGATACGTATATCATAGGCTGCACAGCGCATAAACTCTGCGAGATACGCGATGTGGCAATCGACTGGTAATCGATTAATAATCGCCTGATCTGCCGAGGTGACGATGTTTCCGACAGGTGCACAACAATGTCTGATATACAGCGAGTGTGGACGATAATTCGATTTGTACATTACTTTATTGATATGCAAATAAGCAAGTTCGGGCGAGTGCGCAGGCGCAGGAAAACTCCATTAGTTAACAGGCAAAATTTACTAGTTCAGGTTCAGTAAAACCTCATTAGCTAATGGACAAGTTAATTATGATTGTTTGGTTCGCTTGATTAAATTTCGATGTACCTTTGGGACCCCCTGTGAAGCTACAGTTACGATTCGACCATTCTGTTTAAATGATATAAGTCCCAAAAAGATATCGATGTTCCTTGTTATCTAGACTCGATTCCGATGAATACATATGTATAGTATGTAAGTAAATGGATTGATTCATAGTTATTGTTGTTAGCCATTATTTTGCTTACAAATTTCTTTTCATTACTTTGCCCAGGACAAACTTTGCCCTTCAAATGAGTACTTCAGATGAATTGTGGAATGTTATAGTTGATCTATCATTTATCTGTATATATCTAAATATGCTTGTACTATGTATTATTCCAAGTACTCTTTCTTGAAGAAACTTCCTTCAGCATAATCTTTGCCATTCTTGTAACATTGTGTCCAAAAACAGCTCAAATGAAATGAGATAACATCAAAACTAGCGAATTGTTTGGTTTCGGAATCAACATTCCAGTGGAACCAACATCATCTGCGAATGTAATGTTATAGGTGCTACAATTTTTAACCACAACCACAACCACAATAAACTATTTCACTCTGTTGCTGAAAGTCCATGAAGCAATGGAGCAATCACTCCAAAATCTAGGTGGAACATATTTATTGTACTGGTATTTAATTAGGATATTAATATGCTGAAACTTCACCAAAATGCTGAATAATCTTTAGCATTTTCCAGTTTTAATTAAGAGCTCTGTTTAACCTCAATTGACTATGGTACATTTTTAACAAGTTTTAACAAGTTTAGAACCACCACGGAGGCGGTGGACGGGTATAATCCGCCACATTGATATAATCCTGCTGGACATTGGCCTCCTCAGCAGTCTGCGACTCATCCGATTCGGGATCTCCAACCAGAGACTCATCCGATCCGGAGTCCTCCACCTCATCCGCCTCCAGGGAGGATGGCTGGGCCACAGCCATCGATGCCAGCACAGCGAAGACGAGCATCAGGCCAAAAACGATCTGCCATTGCAACTTCATGATTACTGGATACTGGACTCTGGAGATCTCGAAGGAAGAGAGAGAGCGAAAGTTGTCTTCTGACTGTGACTGTGACCCAAACGAGTCGGGTCTTATATGCGATCTGAAACTAGAACTGGCTCCCGTTTTGGCAAAGTCTCTGTTGACTCTTGCCAGGGGTTTTGGGTTATTTCTGCCAGAACTGTTTGCTTTTCTTTGTCGCCAAATGAGTCTAAGAATGGGGTTACTTTTGAGTGAGTTTAAACTGGATTACCGTTCTGTAGATATGTATGTAGTATAATACTGTATCTATATTAAAAACTAGAAAAATATTCCATATACAAAACAATAGTTACCATTCATCATGCCTCATGTTAACAATTTCTTTAAAATAAAATGATCATTACAAAACAGGTGTTTTCTCAAACATATACATTAAACAATCAGCACTTGATCCACACTACATATATGTAGATGTTTTTATCGAACATCTTGTTAATAAATATCTACAATTTACTTAATCGTTATCATAAACGAATGGTAGCTGCAATTATCCGGTCGATTGCCTGCACAGAAAAAAAAACAAATATCACGTTTAAATGCGCACCGTAAGTGCTGCCAATTGCCTTCAAATTGATAAATAGAGAAATTCCTGAAAATGTGTGAGAAATGCAACAAAATGGAGGTGTACGAGCATTCGCTATACCACATGCATACATCATTTTTGAAGCTGAAAGATCGGATATGCAGCGATATGAAGTAATATAATATCGAGTCCCGTTTCGCGGCATGTTTTTTCTCCGTGTGGTCCCAGTCCCCAGTCCCAACCCCCGCTCTCGCTCCCGCTCCCGTGCAGGGGCGTTGTGGGGGGTGCGTGCTAGCTGTGCAGCTTTCGGTTATTGCGACTCGTTTGGCTTTCGGATCATTTACCGATTTCCTGGTGAAAAGTTGTTGTTGCCGCTGTTTTGGCTGCTGCTGCTGCTGCCAATTAAAGTGGCTAAGAGCGTTGCAGCGAGAGCTGGAAACGTCACAAGCATGTCGTCCAGCTGTCGTCGCGCTTTGGCACTCCACTCGTGGCAATTAGTTTTCAATTAAAAACTATTTAAATGCAACTGTCAAAAGCGATCTGCATGCGGCACGAAGAAATGGACCAGCTTCCAGAAAACAAAGAGACAGACAGATGGCTTCCGATCAGCGACGGGACTGTCGAGGGTCTCATCTCATTGTGAAACGCGATATCTTTTTGTCCAGCCCAATCGACTTCATCTCCAGCTCCATTCCCCTGTAATAATACCCGCCCGCTGTGTGTAATTACAGTCAGCTTTTAAGATCGAGAACATTATCTGCTCGGCAATGTGAAGGACTACCACTGTCGATGCGGAGTGTTGAAAGTCAAATTGTAAGCCTCTAATTATGCATAAAAACTGTGCCTTTGTCTTGGCTAATTAAAACCTCAGCTGGTGATGGTAGATGGTAGATGGCAGATGGAAAGGCCGCTCACTGGTAACAGCAACAACATTTAATTATCAACTGAAGCTGAACAAGCTAGCTAATTCCTATTTGAACAACTGCTAAACGCAGTTCTCGTTCTCGTAGAACGGCGAAGGAGGGACTTGGCTGTACAGCGTGCACTGAGCGCAAAAGTGCCTAAAATTAAATAAAATACAAAAAATAGCTGAAGAGCCGCAATCCTCAATGGCATTCCTAGGCATATGTTCGCATTGATTTCGAAGTGAACCCTGGAGATCAGAGAGCATTCTATCCTTAATCGAATGCATTATTTTTGATCCCATTTGAAGTATTTATTATGCATGGTTTTTTTCTCTCTCAGTGTAACGCTGGTGCTGGGTGGATGGGTACGACTGAGCTAAGCGATTGACCTTGCCACGGCCACGCTCTGCTTCCTACCCATTTGACGACAGCCAAAATGCAACAACCCAACGGAACCGAGCACTGCAAATGGTAATAGTATTGCCTGGCTAAACTCCAACGCTGGCTAAACCCACTTAACAATTGGCCAATTGCTAATCGGAAATTTGAACGAATTTGATAGACACAAAGCCCTGAGTTCCGCTTTGGCTTGCTCTTAATTTGTTTGTACTTTTGGGGTGATTACGTATACGCCCCGGTGTCAAGGTTGACAATGATTCGGCCCAAAATGTAGAGCTAGCTGCTTTGCTTTTTCAATTCAAATCGATCGCAGTGGGAAATGCCGCGAATTGCAAATTGGCAAACAGCAACCGAATGACTGACTGACTGACTGACCCGACCCGACCACACCCCATCTTGGCCCTCTGCCCACAAGGCTGGACAGTGGCCAAGCAACGATCCCGTTACCATTGCTGCCGTACCATTATTTCCGAGCCGGTATTCATCCACCAATCAATCAATGCTAACATTTCACTTTGCGATCAATTCGAATCGAATCGAATCGGATCGAATCAAAGCAAACAAATTGAAACACACCGCAGAGCAACAACGGAGGCGGGCCAACGCAACCGCAACCGCAACCGCAACCCCAGCCAAAACCGCAATCGCAGGTCATTTCCCAAGTTCCGATCGGAACCGGTTGTTCACCACGGATCTGTCTTCAGAATTTCAGGTTAGCTGAACACCTGATCGGCCCAGTGCTTAAAGTGCTGAAAAGTTTTCTGTCCAGGTTGCTGGTTGCTGTCTTGGCAACACAGAAGCTCAGATGCGGGAGCGAGTCTCACAGCGAAGGCAGCAACCAAATGGAGCGGCGCTCAAGTAATTGTCGAATGCCTCGCAAGTGTCGTTGCGTCATTAGTAGATATTTGAACGTAATATTTTTGGCTTGTAGAATGTGCATAGATGTAGATAAAGTGTCAGAGTTAATTCTAAACTCGAGGGACTCGATTGATTTCTAAGAAACGAATCATGAAGTAGATCTAAGAAAATCATATATTAATGTACAAAATGTAGTGCAGGCCTGTAGCAAACAGGAAGATTTCCATTTGGGAATAAGAGATAGGCTTATCTTGTATTACTACCTGAGCAGTACTTAGCTTATTAAAAAAAAGACAATTAAATAATACTTTAAGCTAGGGAATCACGGTACTATTCAAGTTCCATTCCCAATTAGTTGAACCACCAAGGCGCTTCAGATCGTACATAATCAGCGACATCCAGATAGGACGGATTCGGAGCATTCATATTACTTGTGGAGGTGTACAAGGCGGCAGCACGTCCTGATTGCCCCTCATCTTCGAGCTGCTTGCTATTGCCGCGCCATCTCATTCGCTTGTCGTTGGGTCTCTGCAGCCGGACTCCGACCTCTGGGCCAGGATTGGGATGGGCCTTGTCTTCTTGACGCTGGCGCTCAGCATCGTTGATGGCCTGCAGAGCACGATTCCATCGTTGGAGCATGTCTGGGTCTTTGCTGAGAGTCTTGCACTCGGTGGGCGACAGGATAGCCGATACTACGAATACGCTCATAATAATGGTCCACCGAAACTGCATAGTGAAACTATTTCCAATATCTAATGCTGCTTGATCCGGTGCCCTCAGCTTTTATGCGGCGATGTTGCTATCGCAAGCAGATACATTTCCATGTGTCTACTCGGTTCTGTATAGATATAGATATATGTATGTATGTAGGTATATTGCAATGGGTGGCGTGGGAGGCACTACGCTTATGCGGTTCAATGCTGGTTAAGTCTTGACACCGTTTGCTTCTGTTTAAAGAACCCCCTCCCCTCCCAGACCACTGCCACCAGCTATCGGGCTTCAGACCATGTTATGTAACGCTAGGCAGGTGCCGACGCCGACGCTGGGTAAATGTTTTGGTAGTACACAAAGTAGAAATCGAATCGAGAGTGCCAGAGATCGGGGAATCGTTCTATGGGCCAAGGTTATGATCAATATAAGCCGCTGATTTTTTTCGATATAAGGAGATGAAAATAAATGGGATAAATGTGGGGAAGGCCGTTTTTAAGAGACTTTCAACATTGGCTCGTATTAGCTCGGCTAAAATTTAGAAATTTTCATTTGTAAATATATTTTTATACCCGGTACTCGAAGAGTCCATATGTCCACATTAACAAACGGGCGATTCCAACCAGAACTTTGGAGCCGTTATTAAGATCCAAGGCTTAACCGGTATCAGCGGTGTTATGATATGGGGCCAAAACACATCCACCAGACACTGGAAGGTTCGCATGGGCTTGTCATCAGTCTTTTCATTCATGTAGCTTTTCAGTGAGTTCAAATCGACTTACGCGTGCTCTTTTGCCTGTACGGTTCAACAATGTACTGCTCAAAAGCCTGACAATAGAGCTTCTTGGGACACTCTGGCGTGATCTTCACGTCGTAGTGGTAGGCCACCCCCAGCATTTTATCCAAGGTAACGTCGAGATAATTGACGGATACTTGACCGGGTTCTCCCAAAGTTCCACGCTTCATGGTGCCTGCTGGGAGAGGGACTGACTTTTTGGGACTGACTCGAGCCTTGCCTGGCCTGAGGGCGCTGGTTCTGGGGATTATCCTGTTTTTGTCATCCTCTCTCCTGTTGCTTGGAGCCAGAAGCGGCGGAGTCAGTGGATGGAGTGGATGGGAGTGTGAGTGGTCATGGCCGGCGCCGGGCTTCAGCAGGTTGAGAAGGTCTGTTCCGAACACCCGGTGCACCAGCAGCTTGTTGTTGCTGATGTTGTGGCCAAATTATGCAGACGCTTCCGTCAAGTCCCACCAAAACTCAATAAAATTATATTGCACTGTTACAAGTGTATTTCGTCCAGCCCCCACTATCAGATCGGATAGTTATTATAGCCAGAAGGAATAAATGAACTAGCAGTGGCTTCGATTGCGTAGCGCGTAATATTCTGTCTCTCTCTCTCACACACATTCTGCGTCGTGCAAAGTGTGTGCCCACTTGTGGAGCGGAGCCAAACTTACTGAGTATCGGGTATAAATGTAGGGACGTGGCTGTAGCGGCTTTCCTGTTCTTCCTGGTGTTCCGCCACCTTCACATGCCCAAGGATTCATACCGCTCGCAAACTCCCTAGGGCAAGAAGCACCGATTAGGACTAGAATTTATCAAAGATCAAAACTAAAGAAATTATCAAGAATAGCACATTTGATGCTCGTACAATTAGTTTTTCTTACGTGGTTTTGTTTTTATTTAATATATAATTAAAAGTCGTTTCTTTATAAATGTATCTCAAAAAAAATATAATAGATAATGTATCTGCTATGCACGGCATACCCGACGCGACGGATATAGCATTTGGGTGAACCGGCGGCTCGCATCTCAGTTACATTCTCGGCTTAGTGGTCTACAAGTGGCTTAGATCTCCTCGTTCCTTCCGCTCCCGCTTCTCTTTCTCTCTCTCTCTCTCTCGTTTGGTGACTTCGCGAAGGATCTTAAATAGTATCTCCGTATTTATCAGTATAGTAATTAGTGTAATGTGTACAAAGCTAATTGAGTCCGTGGAACGGACAAGGGCCGAGGACGCGGACGAGAAACTTAAAGAGAACATACGAGTATCGTAAGTGATTCGTAAGAGTTATATTATATATCGCGTATGAAACCACCCAAAAGTAGGACGAGTATTCCATTCAGGATTGAGGATTCAGGAAGTGTGAAATGGGGACAGAGGCGAGTGGTTGGAAAAAAAGGCAGAGACTGAGGACTCCCAGGGCAGCGACTAACTCCAGACTTGAGAGATTGTGCCTCTGGGCTCTGGGTTGAGGGCTGAGGGCTGGTCGTCGTTTATCCCGTCCGGTCTTACAGAATTGTGCCGGGCTTGCGCAGCGGCAGGCGACGGCGCTGGCCGAGCAGGCCCAGTCCTCGGGCCTGCTGCTTGGTGGTGGTCTCGGCGGCCTCTGTTGTGTCCTGATCCTTGGCGGCACTGTCCGAGCCGGCCTCTTCGGAGCCGGCGGTCGCCTCCTCCTTGGCCGCCTGCTCTCCGGAGGCACCGTCCGATGATGAGTGCTCCTCCTCAGCGGGAACTTCTGAAAGGAATAACAACAGGAGTGAGTATGGGTTGCGAAGCTCGATATGGGGGGAGCAGTGGACTCGGAACTCCCTACCTGTGGTCGAGGTAGCCGCTGCCGCAGCCGCACCGCCCAGGTGCAGACGACGCTTGGCTAGCAGCGGGTTGATTTTGCGGGGCGCCACCGCCGCCGGCGAGGAGGCTGCTCCTGCGCCTGCGGCTGTCTTCGGCTTGGCCGCATCAGTCTTGTGCAGAGCATTGAGGCGCGGTCGGTTCTTGAGGCGATTAAAGCCGGACACGGGCCCTGCTGTGGCTCCGGCTCCAGCGGCATCGCCACCCTCAGTCTTCTCGGCGCCCTCGGTGGCCTCCACGGCCCCCTTGACATCGTTGTGGTGGCTGGTGCTGTCCGCCGCCGAATCCTCGGGGGCGTCAGCCTTTGGCGCTTCCGTGCTCACTCCGGCCCTGCCGAGCTTGCCACGTGGCAACAGGCGGTTGCCTCCAGCGCGATGCAGATTGAAGCGCGAGGGTCGCACACTCTCCGCCGGAGCAGCAGCCGGGGCTGCGGCGGCCTTACCTTCCTCCGAGGTGGGGCTATCATCGGCGGGGGATCCGGATCCCTCGCCTGCGGGCGCCTTGGTGGTGGTGGAGCGGCTGCGTCCTCGGAGTCCAAGACCAGGACGTCCTCGCAGCGTACTGCGGGCTGTGGTGGAGGGCACCGCATCCGGAGAGGCAGATCCATCGGATGCCTCTTCAGCAGACCTCTCGGTGGTGCTGCTGGTTGTGGAGCCGCGCAGGTTGAAGCGATTGCGTGCTGCAAATAGAGAAGGAGGAAAAGAATGAGAATTATTCGCCTGATGAGTCTCCCAGTGCTCCCAGTGGGCCGCCGACTCACGTCTGCCGCGTGCGAATCCTGAACTGACGGGCTTCACCTCCTTGGCGGCCACGACCTCCTCCTCGGCACCAGGTGCAGGGGCGGGGTTCGACTCCGGGCTGGCAGTGGTGCGGGCCCCTGGACGAGAACGACCGCCGATTGAGGGACGCGAGAAGCGATCTGTTGAAGCAGAGAAAAATGGGCTCAATATAATAAATTCCTTTGGACTAAGGGAATCCAATGCAGCCCCGATCGATACTCACTTCTGCCCGTTTTGGTTGCCTCAGTGGCGGGCGCCTCGGTTGTGCTTGTGGTGCTGGTGGCTCCAGCGCTGGCTCCGGCTCCGCCATCACGCAGCTTGAAGCGATTCCGTCCGGCCAGTCCGTTCAGTCCGGACCGACGACCGCCGAACAGTGAGGGCGTCACTGTCGTTGTCGTCGTTGTCGTGGTGGTGGTGGTGGGTGCTTCCGTGGTGGTGGTAGTGGTGGTCGTGGTCGTGCTGCTGGTCGACGAGAGCTCATCCTGGAGCGTCGTCAGGCTGCCGTCGTCCTCGTCGGTGCTGGCCGTGTCCGGGCTGAGGGTGGTGACATTGGCATCATCCAGCGCCCCGTCGGCGGAGGTGGTCTGCTCGTTGTTGAGGTTCTCGTTGGTGAGGATGGCGTACAGATCGAGGGCCGCCTTCTCCATTGAGGGCGTCGTCTGCTCGGCCTCATCGGTAATGCCCTCTGGATCCAGGTCCTGCTGCTCCTCCTTCTGCTGCTGCTTCTTCTGCTCCTCCTGCTTCTTGAGCTCTCTCTCTTTGGCGGCAGCTGCGGCGGCTGCGGCCTGCTCCTGCTCGACGGCAATCACTGGCTTCAGCTCGTTGTCGCCGTTGCGGGAGCCCTTCTGCTGCTTCTCGTCTGTGTTGAAGGTCTCGCTGTCCACCAGCTCCAGGCTGGGGCGCTTCACGCTGATCTTCTTCCGCTCGGCGGCCGTCTCCAGCGAGTCCAGGGCGGGCGTCGGAGGCACCTCGATGTTCTTGCCTCGACTGGGGAAGCGCGTGTTCACCGGGAGCCGTTCCAGCTCGATGTCCTCGGCGGGATCACGATCACTGACGGACGACGACGACCGGCCCTTTGCCTTGCCGCTCTGCAGACTGTTCTCGCTGGGGCTGGCCGGGGTGCTGCGTTCGATGTTCGTGTAGCGGGTCTTGCCGCGAGTGTCCGGGTCGCCAGCGGACTCCACGACGGCCGGCTTGGCTGGGGCTGCGGCATCATCGTCCTCCTCATAGTAATAGACGTACTCGTACTCGTAGTCCTGGCCGTTGGGCCCCTTCTTGATCTCGATGCGAGACTTCTTGCTGTTCTCGCTGCCCGCGCCTTCCAGCGGGAAGTTCTGGTTCACAAAATCGTCGTGTGGATCTACCACCACGTCGTCGTCCAGATTATCGATCTTCTTGGTGGCAGAGGGCTGCGTTGTCAGCTGTGGGGCTGGTGCCTCTGTGGCCCTCTGAGCCAGCTCCGCCAGGGCCGCCTCCTCTATCTCGCGCCTCACTTCGGCCAGCTCTTCCTCTTCGATGGCGCGCTTCGCCTCGATGCTCTTCATCACATCCTCGTTGATCAGGGCGCTGAGCACGGGATTCAGCTCGGGCCGCTCCTTGGTGGGCAGCAAGTTCATCGAGTAGTCGGCGGGGTCGGCGGTGGCCCTCACGCTGATCCGGTGCGCCGTGTGGAAGCCCTCCTCGCTGTGGACCGCTGCCTCCGGGTGCTTGTGCGACGTCTCAAACGGAACGCTTACTCCCACCGTCTCTGCCCCTGCCACCTGATTCTCGCTGGCTGCGGGTGTCAGTGGCTCTGCGGCTGCGGCAGCGGCGGGATGGTATGTCGCCAGCATGGCCAGTCCTAGGCCCAGTATACAGCTGCAAAAGGGAAGAGAAGAGAACGAATAGTGAGTTAAAGAATCCAAATTTTGGAGGAAATGTATCTCCGACCGCATCATGCCATAAGAGCTCTCGGCAAATAAATAAACATATCTAAACTATCTCAGGATATATTGTCGGAATAGGCAATATCATATGACTCCCAAAGGAATTATCGAATAAGCACATGTACATAGCTGCGACAAGAAACCAGGATACCAGGATGTCCAAAACGTGCTAGGGTGCTAGAGAGTGTTTTAAAAGTCCAGAGCGGTGGAGAAAGGGTTTATGAACCTACAGGTTTTCCATAACCAGAATAGTTAGAGCTTTTCGACTTTATTGACTACTTTATCTATCACTTAGCTCACTTAGTACTTAGCCTAAGCCCCCCACATCACAGGCTAACCATCAGAAAGAAAATACCCGATAGAGATGGGAGTGAATAAATGAGGTTAGCTAAGAATAGAATAGATTAAAAATATGTAGTACAAAAGGGTATTCATAAGCAGCTAACAACAGCTCTTCTAGCTCAATATTAGATTGATTCGATTATTCCTTATTCCTAATTATAAAAAAAAAGTTCATCCTGATGTATTCGATCTATTATTGGATCTCCAGTTAATGTGACACCTGGCATTTAACTGAGGTATTGAGATCAAGGCGAGATTCCCATTTCCCAGCTGAGTCAGCGAATGGTTAACCCAATTAAGCCAACGCCAGCTCCAGCTCCAGCTCCAGCTCCAGTTGCAGCTTGAATTTCATCCCCACACCCAGGTCGAGCTCCAACTCTATCTGCATCCCCAACTCCAACCGAAACTCCAACTACAGCTGAAGCTCGAGTTAAGTGATCGTTGAGAGCGCGTGCTCTTAATCAGCGATCATGGCTAGCCGGTTCCAGCTAAAGCTCCAGCTCCAGCTCCAGTTGCTCATTGCTGCTGGCTCATTGTGCTGCCTCATCTGATGTGGCGTCGTCTCTAATCTGGCATGAAAAACCTTTCACAATTTCATTAGCCACACCGGCTCAGACATACAGACATTCAAACAGATTGTGAGACACCGGGGAGACCGGTGGCCGGAGACGAAAGACGGGAGACGGGAGAGTCGATTGCGCATGCGATTTGGTCATGTCTAGCCATGGAACCAGCAGCAGCAGCAGCAGCAGCAGTGTTGTTGCTGTGCGTCGTTGCTTTTCGATCGTGCAACTCCAACTATCCCCCAACAGCAACAATAGTTCATTGGGCTTTGCGAATCCGCATTGCAAGCCCAGAAAGAGGGAGACTGGAGAGTGGAGAGCCTGATGCTCAAGGCAAACCGCAAAACGCTCCAAATTGATCACCGTTCCAGCGAGTCGATAGGGAAACTCGAGCCAGGAATCATATGGAACCCGGACAGGTTTCCACAACAAAAGGTGTTAACACATTTCAATATCTGGCCTGGCATGCCCAGCAATACGCTAAAACCCGACCAGATCCGAGATCCGAGACCGAGCCCAAGACCAGGCCCCAGACGACAGACAACAGACAACAGACACCAGACACCGGGCCCCTGGTGTTCGATATTCACAGTCACAGTCTCTGCAGTCCCAGTCACAGTCCCAGTCGCAGTCCTCAGTCTACAGCAGTTCCCGATCCGATCGCCCAAGACCGTTGCGCTCTTGACGATAACTTTTAACATTTTGAATTATGTGCAAGTCGCAAATGTTCAAATCTTATGCCAAGCCGTTCGCTTTTTTCCCCATCGCTTCTCTTCTTATATGCTGTTTCAGTCGAACAAGTTTTGGGACTGCCACAAGACTGGCAACACCTTGTTGTTGCTGTTGCTGCTGCTGACTCTTGGTGTTGCTGTTGCTGGCTGTAAAGGTAGACAACTTCAACTTATTTTAATTGCAACAGCTCCAAAACGGGCTGCCCAACAATGGCTATGGCTATGGCTATGGCTGTGGATTCAAGAAAAGTTATAATTATGGCCACATCGTGCAAATTGCCAACGGAGCCCCCAACAGCAGTAGCAGCAGCAGCAGCAGCAACAGCAACAGCAACAGAAGCAGTTGCCGTTGATGTTCCCATTGCCGGTGTGGCTGGCTGGTGTCTTCTCGGACAAGGGTCTGCCACTTTGGCCATGTTATGCATGAAGTGACAATGCGCACATCGCCACACACCACATCCATCCGCAATTGCAGCAATACTCGTGAAGACATGAGCAACCACACCAGCCCCAGCAGCAACCACACCACATAAAGATGTCCCAAGGAAGTGGGCTGAAAAGTCACCCAAGTCTTATTCAATCAAAATAATCCCCCAATCCACAACTGAAGCTGATCTGCGCTAATGCGTCATAAGTTGAAATGTTGGAAGGTTGAAAATGAAGCTTATCTTCGGCCCAACTCAGGTGGGAATTCAGGGAGACAGGAAGAGCATTTACTTGACTCGATTTCTTTTTATAATTAGATCCTTTAACTGCATCACTTAAAAGATAACTGTAAGCTTCCACAAGGCCGTTTAAAGTTAATTAATTAATTAATTAAATTAAGTTAAGCACTATATTTCAGAATGAGTGACAGATCTGTGGGGAGCTATAGAAGCACCAAGAAGAATAGAAGGACAGAGATCATAAAAGCTATATCGTCTCGTATGCTAATTCCGATCAAGAATAGTAGCTACTCCTCTTCTGATTCTTCTTTAACTTAATATATTTGCCCCATTGTTTAATTCAATTCAGAAATTCAGTTTGTTCCGCTTAAACCTGTTAACAAATCTATCGGTGATCGTTGATCAGTAATTCCACCGAACTGAGAACTAGCCGTTTCCACTCTTTGACTCATTCAATGTTCAATCGAACCGACTTTGTTAGCTTCAATTAAGACGTCCAAGCTTGGTCAGAAATTCGCATTGGTACCTATCTCTGATTCATTGAATGTGCGAAATCAGTTCCAAGAAATGGGTTTCAATCAGGGCAGGCTTGCCTTGAATTTAATTATCGGTAAGTCCCCTGAACTAAATGCCGAACTATGTTGTAATACTCAAAAAGAAATAATTGGCTCCGCCAGGGGAATCAATGTGAACTTTATATAAAATAAAATAAAGCACCACAACTGCTGTTTCTTTTTAGATTTTAGTACCTTCCAAATGAGAATAATATGCGACCCTATAAAGCATATATCTTACTCGTTTATTCCATCGATTGAGAACAACATAATGTAGCTGCCACAGAAACCAAGGACATAGAAAGCAAAGGACTGCTTCTTGTTCTAAGGGAGGTTCAATGGAGATCAATTTGGATAGCATATCCCATGACAGCTGATCAGCTAAGAAAAGAAAACGACTCTTCATCTTTGATTAACATGTGGGGCTACTCTATGAGTATCCATACCAAATGGTGGGCGATTGTGGTGTGATTAACTGACTGAATGAGTGATTCATTCGCATCCTCCTCTCAGATCTGCCCCATTGTCTTGGCCAGTTCGCGTTGGAAAGGCCATGTCGGTGCTGATGGTGCTGATGGTGCTGCTGCTGCACTGCTCAAAGGAGTGCTGTCTGGGTGTGGCATGCAATTTGTATTGTAATTTGGCAATTCATTTGAGCCAAAAAAAGATCTGCCCGGCCAAATGCATGTCTCTGTGCAGACGAAGAAAGATGGAAACGTTTTTTGGCGTTTGGCGCATGCGTGGAGTGCTTCAGCGGCAGAGTCGGCATCGGCATCGGCTTCCATTTCGACTTCGACTTCGGCTTCGACTTAAACTTCAGCTTCAGGCCATTGACGTTGTCGAGAGGCAGTGAAGCGGCAACCTGAAGACGGTAACGGCAGCAGAAGCAGCAGAAGCAGCAGCAGCAGCATCAGCAGCGGTAATAACAATAAAACAGCAGCCACATCGGCCAGCAGCCAAGAAATAGCAACAATATTAGCAGCCATGAAATGTAAAGTAAAATAAATTTTGCATTGTTAAGTGGATGCGTCGTCAAAGGTTTGTTGACTTTACCTCTTTTTATTTTTTTTCATTTGGGTTTTTGCATAGCTGACCTTTCCCAAAAAGAGAGATCGCTGCGCCGCGCCGCGCCGTGCCGCAGCCTCTCTGGGCTGACCTTTGGCTTTAAAAGCGTATGAATAAAAGCCAACTTCATTGCCACGCCTCGGCTCCGCTCGTCTCGCCTCGACTAGGCCACATTTCATGCATATTAGCCGACTAACTCGGCCAGCAACTGAGCTGACTGATTGACTGACTGTCTCCCAATGACCACACCAGATCGGCCATCGAGCCAAACCCATACCGGACCAAAACCAGACCAGATCAGATCAGAGCATACTCATACCAACTGCGAGTGCGAATGCGGTGCCAACGGGCTGGCCAAGGTTAACACTCTGCTGCAGGCCGAATTCCAATGAATGTATCTGTATCTGTATCTGCATCTGTATCGGCGGCTGATCAGCAATATCTGATAGTGATACCCGGGAAGTGTCGTCCAATCACTGCAGACACAAATTGCAATCTAAAACATTTCTTCAGATGATCCGATCACTGACAAGTTCCTTGAACGATGAACTGATTTTAAAGATGATGCGATTCCCTTTAGAGATATTCAGCATTGAATTTATATCAAGAAAATAAATTACTTATATTGCCTTCAAAGTAGAGGATGGAGAAGATAATGCACCAAAGCAATGAAATGTTTTCAATGGGAAACTGGTCTATAAAAAGTCCACTTCTTTGAACTTGAACTGAGTTACAATTTAGCAAGGAAACAAAATAGTTGAAGGAATAAAATTGAAAAAATCAATTTTTCAATGAAATAGGATGAGCATTTCAACTTAAAGAAAGGGAAAGCAAAACAATTCGAGTAAGTAACTCAGCTCAAGATCTCCGCTTTCAATAATGGAATGAAGGAATTAAATGACAGAACTTTCCTCACAGATCTCGGACTCAGCCTCTTTGAGCTTAACTTATTTATTCCTTCTGTAGTTTACAACTGGGGAAACACAAATTTGGATATCCCAAACACATACTCGTTTGTATGTATGCATTTTTTAATCAGATTTACTTCCCAAAATATGAATATGATTATGATATTGCATAATCGGGCTGAAACCCATCTTGACCTTGAGCCGCTCAATGAGTAGTTTTGTAAAATTTCACTTTTTAATGCCAGTGTTTTGAATACTTACATTTTGAGCAGCATTTTGGTGGCTCCTTTCGGCGGTTCACTTTTGTGGCTGTTGCTGGTTGCTGGTTGCTGGTTGCTCTCCTTGTTGTTGGTTGTTGCTGGCTGTCGTTCAATGTTGTTGTTCAATCAACTTGTTTTTTAACATAAATTTTATTGACACTTTTGAAAGTCAACAGCTTTTTGGCTTCAGCTTCGAATGAAAATAAAAAAGTGTGGAAAATAAATAACAAACAAAAACGAAAACAAAAACAAAAACACAAGCGCAAGACAGACAGAAATTGAATGACAGAAATTGATTTTCGAAAAGATTGTTAATTGTTATGCACTTTTGATTTGTTTAAATATTGGCCACACTTCGCATGGTTGTTGTTGGTTTACGGTGTACGGTATACGGTGTACGGTATACGGTGTACGGTTTACTGTTGCTATTGCTGGTTGTAAATGTGGTTCACTTTTGGTCATTTTTGAGTTGCACTTTCACTTTTCACTTTTTATTTCTCGTTGGGGCTATTTGTGTGCTCTTTTGTATCTATTTCTTTTCTTTGACAGCGCCTATAAATATATCTATAACTATCTCTACATCCCTGTGTGGGTGTTTGCATATATGCGTGGATGGGTGGCTTAAATATGTGTGTGTATGACTGAATTAAACACTGAAAAAACAAAAATGTACGCAAAAAAAAGATATAACATACATATACTCGAATATTTTCCCGATGCACTTTTTGCCGGTCCCGATTGTTTCTTCGAACGACAGACATGGAATGATCCGCATGGACCTCTGTCTTTATATGACTATGAATCCAACACACACACACATACACACTCCTGCCCAAGCACACATATACACCCGGAGGCATGGATTTAGATACAGATGTGCAGATGTAGTTGCTGTTTCGTAGGATATGTGGAGGGTACCATGAACTGGAAATGTCGCCTCTTGGTCGTCTTCGAGGGGGCTCCGGTCTCCGGTCTCAGTCTCAGTCTCGGTCTCCGCTTGGGTCTGGGATATTGAGAGAGCAGTCACTTTCGATTTCGCTGCCAGCTGAACGTGAAATGGCAAAATGATGAACGCTTCAACCATTGAAAACCGTTCGCTGCCCGCCGATGGCAGCCGATGGCAGCGTCGACTGCGGCGCTGGGGCTTCGGGGACTGCCACTTCGACCCGACTGTGCTTCGTGGTGCTGCCACTGCAACTTCGACTACGGTTCGTGGGTCGGTCGGCCGCAGAGGAGACAGAGAACGAACGGGCCATAGATCGATCGATCGATCGACCGATCGAGTAGCAGCAGGAGTATACTTTGCTTATGGCCATGTTAACACTAAATCATTCACACCTGCCGTGGCCCGTTTCAATGGCGTTGGCAACGAGGAAGTTCACCTTAAAACTCGGAGAAATAAAGTGTGAAACAAAAAAACTGCACTAGTTTCGGTTTCGGGTTTGGGCCTGGACTGGCCGGGCCGGGCCGGGGCAAAACCCATCCACAACCACATCGACATTCACTTGCATTTGGGGATGCCATCTCGTTCACACTCTCTACGAGTGGCTCTGGCTTTGGGTCTGGCCGCTTCTCTGCTGATCTCCTCTTGGCTATTTCATAAGACCAAAAACTGGTTGGCAGCTGGTCTCAAGGCCGTTCGTCGGCGTCGCCGTCGTCGTCGTCGTCGTCGTCGTCGTCGTCGTAGTCTGTTGTTGATTAACCGCATTACACATACGCAGCGTTGGCCGCTTCGGCCGTTTTGGCCGCCTCAACTGCAATTAGCAGGGCACACAACATTCCCTTCCCTCTGCCACCGCTTCGACTGCTTCTGCTGCTGTTGCTGTTGCTGCTGCTGTGGCTGCTGCTGCTGCTGCGGATGTAGATATTACGAGTATTATCCAATCTGTGAGCTTATTGATTAACCGTTGCTCATTTGCTTATTTATGCAATTCGCCCCCCTCCCCGCCAAACGCATGGGAGATATGTATGTACATACATATGTGGCCGGGCGAATCGGGCTGGTCCACTCAACGCTCATAGCTCATAGTGTCTATGTTGTACTGCAGCTTTCGGATCAACAGCTCGTTCGACAGGGGACTCCACCCTGTGTGACGGGGGTTTGGCTTGCGTCCAAGTGACACCTTTTCATACCCTGTACTTGGAGATTCCAAGGGCTTACTCGACTCTATTAAGTATTTGCCTATTCTCAGTATAATCGTCAACTTGTCAGGGTATAGGATATCTCTTAGCCGAATGGTGGGTCCCTTATTTGGCACATTTTGTAATGCCTTGATTTCGTTGTGGTTTTGGGGATAATCTTGTCATGTTTCTCTTCGCATCCCATTCTTGGTCTATCCCTTTCCATTTCTGTTTATTTTTTTTTAGTATCAGTAATTTCTTCCTTAGGTCCATAGATCGATCACTCTATTAGATTTGTGGTGAAAATGGATGTGTGTAACGTCCAGAAGGAATCGTTTCCGACCCCATAAAGTATATATATTCTTGATCAGCATCAATAGCCGAGTCCATTGAGCCCTGTCTGTCTGTCCGTCCTATCAGCGCCTAGTGCTCAAAGACTATAAAAGCTAGAGCAACGAATTTTTTTATCCGGACTTCTGTGATATGTCACTGTTTCAAGTATATTTCAAAACATTACCCCGCCAATTCCGCCCCCACAAAGGGCAACTCACAACGTTCTCCCTCGTTCTAATTAAAATTGATTGATTAACTGGACCCCAGTATTTTTGTATTTGGTTTTTACTTTTGTTTGTTTCCCTGTCTTGTGGAAATCTTTTTCCTCGATCGAGAGTACAGCGAACCGGGAAGTACTGACGAGTGTTCCTTAATGGGAGGTCCATATAATTAGGGACACCCTTTAGCCGCACCTCTCCATCAGGCTTCTCTTCGGCCGTCTCTCCTTTCCGTAATGGGCCCTTCTCGCCTGGCCTTGGGGATTTTTTGGAAGCAGCTGCAGGAACTGATTGAGTTTCAAGTGATCGTCGGCGCAGAGGCTCTTGATGGGGAATTTTCAAGAGAAGAATTGAGAGGGAATGCGGGAAAGGAAGACATTGCAATGAGGGAAGAAGAATGAGTCAAGCGATCCCGAGGTCACGTTGATCAAGTTACCAGCGATCCAAGCGATCCAAGCACATTGCTATGGATGCCACGATCCGGACATAAAAATCCCAAAAAGCCCAACCAACATAAAACAAGAAAAAAGAAGGCTATCTTCAGGAGCCGAACCCTCAAATACCCTTGAATTTGTATAGTTCCTATGGTAACTCCATGATATGGTGTTCCAAGTAACGTACGAGTATATGAGTTTTTTAGGGTTCAGAAATACCTCGGAGATAAATCATTGTACCAATTGGAAGCATATGCCGTGTGGCCTGTGAAGAAGAAGGCTAAGTGAGAGAGTGGAAGCCTTTGACTGGATAGTTGCAGAGCGATCCGAGGTCAGTAGTTGAGAGGCGGCCAAAACAGAACAGGACAGAACGAGGACTACTTGTAATGGAAGGGGGCTCGATCGTCACGAAAGACAGATGGAGGTTACAATAATGGGAATAATCTTCGTGATGATGATAATAAGGATCTCATGATGATTAACCCTTCATTAGTGAGCAATTTGGTAATTTCATAAAAAACAGTTTTCAGCGTGAAGATGCAGAGAAGTGGTTCAGGACTCCCATTGTTTTCAAGGACATCGCCAGGATTGTCAGCTCTTAGAGGAGTCTTTAGAGTCGTAGATGCAGCTTTCTCCTTTGACCCTTTGACGTTTTTTGGGACCCCATCCCCTCACATTTTTCCCCAATCTTTGTGCTGTCACGCCGATGGCACCCTAGACGCATCCGCTGCCATTTTGGGCTAGCTGCAAAAGTTCAAATCAATTCAAACCAGCCTATGACTTGACATTCAAATGGGGCCTGTTGCGTTTGCCATTTCATGAGCCGAAAATAAAGACGACAGCTGAAAGACAATAAAGAAAAGTACAAGTACAAGTACGAGAGTAAATATCAATACATATGTATGTACATATATGTACGATTATATCAAAGGAACTTAACAGAGACACAGATGTGGACGGGAAGAAAGAGAGAGACAGACAGACAAAGACACTTCAGGTACCAGGTAACTCTTTTATGTATTGTACAAAAATCATAAAATTGTAATAAAATCACACAGCACAGAAAAGCAACCGAGAAAAGCGTACAAAACAACAACTGTTATTCAACATGTACAGTCGAGTGCTGGCAGAAGGCAGAGCCGAAGCGAAGCCGAAGCCGAAGGCGAAGAATGTGTACTCGGTTCGGTTCGGCTCGGCTCGGTTCGGTACCTGTACGAGTATATGTGGCCATATCTGCATACAGATGTGCGCAAACAGGAGTGGCCGACGCGGAATGTTAATGCGGCTGCAATCGTTGGCGTTTCTGCTCCAAGAGGCTCTGCACGTAGGCTGTCTCTCCATCAGTGTGTTTCTGTGTCTCCGCATCTCTCTCTCTCTCTCTCTAGCTCTCTTTGACTCCCCTCCCTGAACACCGACCTGGGAGTTACGTGAGCTTTTGCATAGGGCTCCAGGGTCCGATGGGTCTGTCAGAAATGTGGAGTGCAGGGAGCTTAAGTGGGGTCCGAAAACTGGACAACAGCCAAAAGAATTAGGCGCACCTCCATCTCCATCTCTTTCTTCTTCTCTCTATCGCCATCTCTGTCTGTCTTTCTTGCACCCATTTTGGAGTCACTCCCTGGGCGCATGTTTGAGTCAAGTAAAATTTATAACTGTCAATTATTATGCAAGAGCTGTGTGTGCCTGGGAGGAGAGGTAATGGAGGGAGGGAGAGGGAGACTCCTCTCGCCAGGCAATCAGGAAATACCCGAATCCATACTGTACGTACGATCAAAGCCAAAGCTATAAACACTTCTCGCACCACTGGCACCGCCACCGCCACCGCCACCGCCTCCGCCGCTCCTGTCCCACCTCCTGTCCTACGAACCTGTAGCCACCGAACCGAACCACTCGCATAATCGGAGCACGTCTCTCCAGACCACCGTCCACCGTCCACCGACCACCACTCCTCCCAAAGTCCAAAGCAGAGGAACTCTGGTAAGAAGTGTTATTTTTTTACCGCTTCGTGTTGACTTCTCTTCTCGTCGTTTGTTGGTTAATGAAAATATTTTTAATGCTTTTTTGTCACTCATTG